TAGTGATAATAATCACCTGTTTAAGCCAGAACCCTTCAGATTCTTTGTCTCCCCAACAGTATATAGTTCGAATGCCAACACTATGAAGCCTCTTCATTAATTCTTCATATACAAGTTTACCAAAACCCTGAACATGTATTAAAAAAAACCCGTCTATTTAGTTTTTGATGCGGTTCTTAGCGCGCCATGTTTAGTAAAACCAAGTATGCACACTTATAGACATTTACCATCAAACCAAAAAAATCTTTGGTAAAGCATTACATAACAAACGCTACTACTATTTCTTGAATTGTTGGAAACAGGAACAACAGTAAGTGTCAATGAGTAAGAGCGAAACGAACCTTTTTCTGGTGTGTATATGTTACAGCAGCAAGAGGTATCTCAGCATATTGTGTATCAGCAGGGACTATTTGATAGGTGATTGCAGCTAAGATCTACAAAAAACACACACACCAAATAATCAAATTGTACAAATGCAGTATAGCAGAAAAACTAAGAGCATCATTTGTTCTTTGGCAGATTAGTGAGATAGATTCTGCTCTTCAATTGAAAACAAAAGAGAATACAGCATAAAACTAAAGCTTATTTACCTCATCTGAGACTCCGTTAAGCGTGGACTTCAAAACCAATGAACAATACTTGCTGCAAGATAGGGAAATTTTTCAAAGAAAGCAAACAAAATGTGGTCCAATCTCAATGAAAATGGCAAAAAAAAGTTAGTCTCTATAGTGGAAACAAGTAAAAAGAATGGTTATGAGAAAGAAACGATTTACCCTTTAGAGACGCATCTCTCGAGAAATGCAGATTGCTTCCCAGTGTTTGAAGCGTATTTCATGTCAGGTAACTCTTTACTATATAACTTCAGCACTTCCTGAATAGATGAAATTACGAGTTCTTATCTTACGAGCGCTAAATAAACGATAAAAACTAAAAAAATCAACTTTCAAGTGCTTTTGTTCGGATTCCACTTACCTGAAGATGAGATTTGGTAGATTCATCTTCATCCCGAGGATTAACAAGTAGAAACATGTGTTCTTTCGTATAACCAGAGACGACTTTTTCCTTCTCTGCACAATTAAAGAGAAACTACCTCAGAGATAATGCAGAGAGAAAGAGAGGAAGATGAAACGTTTGCTACACATTTTGCGAATTGCAATAACATAAGCAGATGACAATAAATTCAGATCAACAAATTTGTCTACAACTCTCACATTAGTACAAGAACCCAAAAGCTAGAAGAAGAAACAAAACCTGAGATTTTTACTCTGTTGGTTCTGGAAAAGTTGATCTGAATGCTTTTTGGACCAGATTCACAGGTAAAGTTCTTACCATCCACTGAGACTTCGTAATCAAGTAAATATACATTCAGAACCAGCGAAGATTCATTCTAATTGACCGGAGTATCGGAAAATCAAAGGTTTCCGATTTCCTTACCGATAGGGTAGAGAGAAGACTGCATCGCCGCCGGTGCTCTCTTTGGCGCCATGATAATTTTTAGAGCGGGATTTCAAAACTGCACAAAAATAAACGAAATGAAAACGCCAGAGAGTATTAATAAATAAGCTTTATCCAAGGGCATTTACGTAATTAAAATTTAGGGATCTTAAAAAAAAGAAAAAAGAAAACGCGCGTTTTTGAAACGCACGCTGGTTCCGGTTAAAGATCGGAAAATTTGTGATTCGGTTCTTCGGTGGTTGGTACCTCAGAACCGAACTTGTTACCAAATTGCAGTTTTGAACAACTTTGATGGATCATAAACTCTAGTTCTCATTTCTCTTCAAAGTTTACAA